CCCATGGGCTACCGCCAGCCGCCGCCTCGGCTGCCATCCAGGACACGGCAGGGATAAGCGCAGGTGAGTCTGATATGCCTGTCTCGGAGTCCTGGCCTTCTGCAGCACCCCACGACACCTGTCCATCTGTGAGCCCTGATCTGTCTGTCCCTAATTTCCCCAGCACCCTCCTTCCAGTCCATCTCTGATGTCTAGTTGCAAACCATGTGTCGCTAATTCCCCTTCTCCCCACAGCCACCTATTTCTCCTGGTCCCCTCTCTTTTATGTGCCCCCCTACCAATCGAACCTTCCTTCTGCACCCATGTCTGTCTGCCCAGTCCTTCTCTGTATCCTTGTGTCCATCTGTGATCTCTGGCCGTTATGTTTCTGTCCTTTATTTCTGCACCCCATCCATCCTCTTGTCCATTGTTTGTCTCTCAAAGATATTTCTGTCCATGCTCCTTCCTGGCGCTTATCAGTGCCCCTACATCCACCCATCTCACACTCCCATGAATCACACACCAGCTTATTCTTTATGGTTTGTCCATCCCGCGTCTCGATCCTTAACTTTCCATCTGTCTGTTCATCTGTCCCTCTCTTCTGGGCCCCAGTTTGCCCTTCCCATTATCTCTGTCTCCCCTCCCCTTACCTCTCCCTCTCTCAACTTGGCCCTTATCTCTGCATTTTTCATCTCCATCCCTCCCCAGCCAGCACCACACATAATCATCTCTTATCTTTCTACCCCCACCCATCTCTCTCTCTCTCCCGCTCTCTCCCTGTCTACACCTTCCTGTTCCCTGGACCTACCAAGCCCTGTCCCACCCTGGGCCATTGCTCACGCTATTCCTGCTGCTTTGAATGCCTTTCCTCACTCCAGCCCCACTGCCCGCTGCCCATGGCTGGCTCCATCTCATCCTTCAGATTTCAGAGAGCCCCCCCGACTGCCCACCTCCAGGTCCCCTTGTGACACATCCTCCAACTATTTCTTTTAGAGCACTTCTCACAGTCTGAGGGCTATGTGTTTCTGTGTGCGTGTTTGTTTATGTGTGTTTGTTGATGTGTTTACTCTTTGTCTCCCCTCATTGCATTGTGACACCAAGAAGCTGGAGACCGCGTGGGGTTTGTTCCCTGCTGGATCTGCAGCAGCTGGCACAGTGCCTCTCACATAGTTGGTGCTCAGTGAATATTTGTTGAATGCACGAATGAGAAATGGTTGTTCCGTTGTCTCTCCCTCCCGAAATTCTGTCCCTGCATCTGTGCAACCCTAATCTTTGTCTCCTTGTCTGTCCACCCCTTTATTTATGGATCCTTAATCTCTGCCCCTTGGCTGGCCTTCCCAGTCTCTTCCTCCTTGTCCATTTGCCCCTAATTTCTTTTCCCTTGTCCAGTCCTCCCCTAATCTCCATCCCCTTGTCCATCCACTCCCAATCGCTGTCCCCCTGCCTATCCTTTTTCTGTCTCTTTCCGCCCTTTAACCACCCCTCTCCCCCATTCCATTCCCTATCTGCACTCTTGCCCGGCCCCTCCCAAGAACAGGACCCGCTGGCCACCATGTCAGGAGACTACGAGGATGACCTCTGCCGTCGGGCACTCATCCTGGTCTCGGACCTCTGTGCGCGGGTCCGAGATGCCGACACCAGTGACAGGTGCCAAGAGTTCAACGACCTGCGAATCAGAGGCTATCCCCGGGGCCCCGATGCAGGTCAGCATCCCCAGCCGTCTTGGCCAGCCCCCTGCTTCCACTATAGCCAAGAGTTTTAGAGATTCAGAACAGCCCTGCTCAGCTTCCTGTTCCTTATGGGGCCGGTCCCTCTTATAGTCTTGCCTCCATCCTGCCTGTTGCTGGTCTCCCAAACCTCTGATCTAAGAATAAGGAGCTCTGTGGTCCGTGTGACCTGTGACCTTTTGGATTTTGCCCTGTGGGCCTCCTGTCCACCCTCCCTCACCACCACTCCACTGCTGCCACACATCCCCTTCAGGTATCTTTGTGCATTTCACATAGTGCTTAGAAGCTCAGGCTCTTAAGTCAGTCTGTCTGACTTGTCTGGGTTCAAATCCCACCTCCCCCACTTACGAAATGAATGGCTTATTCTGTGCCTCGATTTCCTCATCTGGAAAATGGGGATCATAAAAGTGACTACTTCATGGGGCATCTGAGAGACTCAAATGATATAACACATGTGAAGTGCTAAGAACAAGCTGGGCGCACAGTGGTCATTCAATATATGTTGGAATATACTTACTGAGCACCAACTGTGTACCAGACAGTATACAAGATCCACTACCCTTTGTGGTACATATAATCCCTATTTTCTCTTTTTTTTAATTTTATTTTTTAATTGAAGTATAGTTGGTTTACAGTCATTCAGCAAAGTGATTCATATATATTCTTTTTCAGATTCTTTCCCATTATAGGTTATTACAAAATACTAAATATAGTTATAATCCCTATTTTCAATGGGGGAAACTGAGGTTCAGAAGGTGGAGTGATTGGCTCCAGGTAACCCAGCTAGGAATCAGCAGGGTTCTGAGAGCTAGGGAATATCATGATTGCCCTCGTCCAGATGAAGAACCTTCAGGAAGCATGAGGTGGGAGGTTACAATGACAGTCACACTTGCTGAGTGCCAGGGCGGGGCTCAGCATCTCGAGTGCAGGATGTCTATGGGACAGTGACGAGGAACGAGGCCCAGAGACCTGAAGCAGCTCGCTCAGAATCTCATAGCCTGTATGCAGGAGAGCCAGATTTTGACCCCAGGAAGTCTGGTACACTACTGCAATTGTGAGTCATGGGGAATCCCAAGACCACCCTCAGGTTCAATGATTTCTAGGACTCACAAAACTCAGAAAAGCTGTTATACGCATGGCTACATTTCATGACAGCAAAAGGATGGAGATTAAACTCAGCAAAGGGAGAAGAGGCATAAGGTAAGGTGCAGGAGAGACCAGGGATGAGCCTCCAGTTGTCCTGTCCTGATGGAGTCACGCAGACAGCCCTTAACTCTCCCAGCAACAATGTGTGACAACATGCACAGAGTAGGGCCCCCTCGGGAAGCTCACCAGAGCCTCTGTGTCCAGGGTTTTTACCGGGGCTCTGTCATGCAGACATGGTTGACTGTCCATGTGGCTGAACTTAGTCTTAGCCCCTCCAAGGGTCAAGCTCATAACACGTGGCCCAAAGACCCCAGCATCAATCACACTGTTACACAGACTATCTGATGTGGCCCAAGTTTCTCAGGTAAATAAAAACACTCGGGCAGGACATTCCAAGGGCTTAGAGGTTCACCCCAGGAGCTGATCAAGGGCCAAATGTTTCTTTGGGCAAAAAGGTTAGTATTTTACTGCACAACTACACTGCCTTGCACAACCCAAATGGCTCCCCAGTGCAGGCAGACAGGAATGAGAAGTCTGCCAGAGTTTGGAGGATTGATGTTTTGACTTGGAGAGGGTCTGGGCCAGGCTGACAGTGGGGGAAAGCATCTGTTCAATTCTTCTCCCCCTTCTCTTCCAAAATGGCCCCCTTTCCTCAATTCTTTCCATGTTCAGGAGGCCAGAAAGTCCTTGCTCCGGTTTCTAACAGGCCCCCAGAACGCACCCTAAGGGGTTGGAGGTGGGGTGGGAAACTCAGAGTTCTGCCACTGCCCGCCGTGTGGGCCTGCAGGGTCACGTCCTCTCTCTCAGACACTCAGTTTCCTTATTTGTAAACTAGGATCAATCATCCCTAGGTTACATAGTATCCTGAGGATTAACACCATGGGCCACTGACTTAGATTCCCTGGGCAACTCAGGACTAGAGGGCATCCCCCTTGCCACCAAGAGCTCCCTGAAGTGACACAGCCCTTCCACCCAGCTGAGCTTGTTGCCAATGGTTTAGTTACCTGCTACTCCCCCTGCCCCCCATAATCCATGGTCTGTACAGAGCAGGAATTTCCCCTGTGTTCCACCTCACTGAGACCCGGAAGTCAACCCCAAATAAATTCACATTTCCTTGAAAAACCCCACTCCTGGTACCAATTACTAAATGAACCCGAAACCTTCAGTTCAAGATCTGGGCTGTCCTTGGGTTTCTCTGAAAGGCATATCAGCACATAGTAGGCATTCAGAATGTGTTAGCCGCAGTGGCGGTGATGTTGGATACACGTGGCAGCAGCAATAAGATTTATTATTCTAACAAAAATTCATGTTCGAACTACCACTATTGGGAAATATTGAGGTGTGGTAGCATAATGGTGAAGACGGTAAAGCCAGGCGCCCAGACTCGAATCCTGACTCCCCTGCTCCAGCTCTAGGACTCTGTGTCTTTGGTAACTTCGTGTCTCTTGGCCTCAGTTTCCTTTTGTGGAAAATAACAACGGGCATAACAATGTTGCCAACCTCCTAGCGTGCCTGTCAGGCATAAGGAAGCGAATGCGTATAAAGCACTTATGTGTCCAGAACACAGTAACCTCTCAAGAAATGTTTGCCATTATCTCCCCCAGCTTGCTCGGCACACCATTTACTCCCTGCATTTCTTAAAAGCACTATGAGAGGCAGAACTGATTTTTCCCATTTGTCAGATGGGGACTGTCAGGCTCAGAGAGGTTAAGATATGTTCCCAAAGCCACACAGCAAGCTGGGATTTGAACCCTGACCTGCCTAACTGTGCCACGCAGTCTCCTTTCTCCTCGATCAACTCTTAGCGTTTTAGGGAACCTTCGTCCTACCTCGGATGGTGTATTCCCTTACAGAGAGTCACTGTGGGCTAGCAATCAAGAGGATAAAAAGATTAAAATCCGAAGACAGACTGCCGGCTCAAATCCCAGATCTGTCATTGACTACCTGTGCAGCCTTACACAAGCCACTCAACCTCTCGGGTTCCCCATCTTAAAAATGGTTAGATAGAAACACCGACCTTCAGTAGTCGTGGAGTTTACACTAAGTATTACATGTAGAGCGCTTAGCACGGTGTGTGGCAAATACTAAAGGTTAGCTCTTGGGGACAGCAATGGGAGGATAAACTCTGACCCCACCCTGACCCCTGACCTTTGTCCTCACTCTCTCCAGACATCTCCGTGAGCCTGCTGTCGGTCATCGTGACGTTCTGTGGCATTGTCCTTCTGGGTGTCTCCCTCTTCGTGTCCTGGAAGCTGTGCTGGGTGCCCTGGAGGGACAAGGGAGGCTCAGCAGTGGGCGGTGGCCCCCTGCGCAAAGACCTAGGCCCTGGGGTCGGGCTGGCAGGCCTGGTAGGCGGCGGTGGGCACCACCTAGGGGCTGGCCTGGGTGGCCATCCCCTGCTGGGGGGCCCACACCACCATGCCCACACTGCCCACCATCCGCCCTTCGCTGAGCTGCTGGAGCCGGGCAGCCTAGGGGGGTCAGACCCCCCAGAGCCCTCCTACTTGGACATGGACTCGTATCCAGAGGCTACAGCTGCTGTAGTAGCCGCTGGGGTCAAACCGAGCCAGACATCTCCTGAGCTGCCCTCTGAGGGCGGCGCAGGCTCTGGGCTTCTCCTGCTTCCCCCCAGTGGTGGGGGCTTGCCCAGTGCCCAGTCGCATCAGCAGGTCACAAGCCTGGCACCCACCACCAGGTGAGACAGGCTACTGGGCTGGGGGTCCACTCTGAACTTCTGTTCTTCTTATGTGTCTCTTTCCCATCTATGGCTCTCATGAGTCCTGGGGAAGGAGGGAGCTTGGGGTGTGGATTCCTGAATCCTGGGGAAAGAGGAGGCTAGGGATCCAGACTCCTGAGTTGGAGGGAGGAGGGGGCTAGAGGTCTAGGTTCTTGGATCCAGAGGAAGGAGGAGGCCGAGGACAGGACTCTGGGACCAGGAAGGTGGAAGAGAATGGAGGTTAGACCCCTGAGTCCCTGAGGCACAAAGCAATTCATCTCTTTCTCCCTAAGCCTGGACTGGTGGTGGGACCTGCAGTTCATCCATCCATTGTTCATCATTCTGTACATGTACACTGAGCACCTAATATGAGCTAGAGCTGAGCTGGGTGTTGGAAAAGAATAGAGGCGAGCACGGCAGACACACCCTACCCTCACGTCACTCACAATCCGGGGGAAGTGGGTCCCCAAGTCAGCTGTCCCTATCCAGCCAGGCCAGGGCTGCAGTAAAGCAGCCTAGGGGACGTGGGCAGGACCAGATCACACAGGGTCTTGAATGCTGGACTGAGGGGGTGGGACCTTGTCCTAGGGCACTGGGGAGCCACAAAGGGCTGTGAGCAGAGGAGGTCAGCTCTGGGTAGAAAGACCTCTCTGGGGCCACATAGGGGACAGACTGGAGAGACAGATTGGATACCAAGAGTCCAGGCAGGAGACAACAAGGCTGAACTGGGGATGGTGGAGGAGGAGATGAGGTAGAGAGAGTCAGGGCGCCGAGAGTCAGGGATGGAACTGGGGGCTGACAGCTGTGGGTAGAAGGGGGTGGGAGGAAGTAAGGACAGCACCCAGGGGTCTGGCCTGGTGGTTGATTGGAAGAATGGTGGGGCCGTCAGAGGATCTAGGAAGAGCAGTGGGTTTGAGGGAGATCCTGAGCTTATCTGGGTCTTGTTGAATGGGAGGGGCCCGGGGGAGCATCCGGGGAAAACTACCTCGGGGAAGGATTGTCTTGGGCTCCAGAGGTTCATAGGTGGTTCTTGTCCAGTGGGCTGGCCAAGGGCTCATGGAAGATATAGTCTGAGGTCTCTGGGGAGGCCTTCCAGAGGTTGATGGATACACCAGTCTGAGTTCCTCCTTCCCCCATTATACAGATGAAGAAACTGAGGCCCAGAGGATGTTAATGACCTCCTCAAAGTCACTCTGGGAGCAGGGAATGGCCCTTCAGTAGCTGAAGGCATCTCACCCGGCATCCCTTTCCACGGCTTGGTGCCCTCCCACTTCCCCCAGCCTCATGCCTGCCTCTCAGCGCATCTGGGGCTGCCATGTCCAGTCATGACTGCCCATCACTAGGGGCCCGGGTGTGATGGTCCATGCGGGAGAGGATGGACGAGCAGGGACCACAGGGATGGGGAAATTCAGGAGATGGGAGGGAAAGGATTGCAGGGGAGAGAGGAGATGACGATGGCCTCAGCTGTCTGACCTGCAAATCTAGGTGGATTCTGGGGAACTGGGAGAGCGAGTGGGCTTGGGAGGAGGCACTGAGCCCAGCAGGGAACACGAGGGGTATGTGGTGTCTGATGGGCAGCTGAGGCTGTGGGCTGAACCAGGCTGGAGCTCAGAAGACAGATTTAGCAGACATCAGGCTGCTGATGGCCGTGGAAACCTGGGGCACCGCTGAGCTTGTCCAGGGAAAGCGTGTGAGTGAGATGGGGAGAAGATGGCAAAGATGGTTAAGGATAGAGCTTTGGGCTTCCAGGGTGTTCTACAAACACAGACAGCCAGAAAAGGAAGTTGAGACAGAAAGAAAGGGGGAGCGATGGTCAGGTGGGAGAGCATGAGGCTGGGACTTAGGACGGGTTAGGGAGACTTGGAGAAGGGCAGGTGCAGGACCAGGGGGTCTGGGCTGTGTGAGGCCCCAGGGGTCCATAGAGAAGCTATTCTGGGTCACCCCTTGAGGTCAGAAGGAGGCTTCTAGAGGCTGGTGCAAGCCCAGGTCTGGGGTGGAGCTAGCTTAGAAAAGGGGATAGGTCACCCTCCTCACACAGATGGGGAAACTGTGGCTCAGAGAATTCAAGTGCCTCGCTCAAGGTCACAGTGGGCAAAGGTGGGGATCTGTGGACGCCTGGCAATGGGGTTTGGGGAAGAGGCAGGGAGGAGCCTCCCAGGTCTTCAGATGCAGCAAAGATCGGAGCCACTGACTCCACCTTGTCTTCCCCACCCCGCAGGTACCCGGCCCTGCCGCGGCCCCTCACCCAACAGACCCTGAGCTCCCAGCCGGATGCGGGCAGTGAGGAGCGGCCGCCCGCCCTACCCTTACCCTTACCAGGCGGTGAGGAAAAAGCCAAGCTCATCGGACAGATCAAGCCGGAGTTGTACCAGGGCACTGGACCCGGCGGCCGGCGGGGCGGCGGGGCCCCAGGTTCCGGAGAGGCCGGCGCGGGGGCGCCCTGCGGCCGCATCAGCTTCGCCCTGAGGTACCTCTACGGCTCCGACCAGCTGGTGGTGCGTATCCTGCAGGCCTTGGACCTCCCGGCCAAGGACTCCAATGGCTTCTCAGACCCCTACGTCAAGATCTACCTGCTGCCTGACCGCAAGAAAAAGTTTCAGACCAAGGTCCGGAGTGGTGGGCTGGACATCCGGGTCCCAGGGAGGAGGGGCTGGGGGCCGGGACTTCTGGGTCTGAGGGAGGAGGGGTTGAGGGCCTGGAGCCCTGGGTCTGAGGGAGGAGGGATTAGGGGCGGGAACTCCTGGGTCTGAGGGAGGAGGGGCTGGGGGCCTGGAC